AGGCCCTTCGCTTAGTGCTTTGGAGAATACAGAATAAGCCAGGCCAGAAGATAGGCAATAAGACAGGTTCTGAGTTTTGGGCCAGCAGTCCTGCTGTCTCAGAAACGCAGAAGGTCTGGGATCAGAACGTGAAAGAGGGAGACCCGAGGAAGGCTTCCTGGAAGGTCCCTGAGCTACATATTCTGTGTAAATAAAGTCGAGGCACAATCATCTGGCAAAGGAAGACCAGCTTGGAGCTTCAGGTGCAGACAGGTGATTCTGCTTGGCTGAAGCACATCTGAGGTAAGAGGGGTTTGGAGGGGAGGACTGGAGACTGGGACTCATCTCTACCTCCAGGTCACAGCCACAAGTGTCCAGCAATGGCCTGGACAGTACCTCTCAAGTCTGAGTGTCGGCCTAGGAAACCAGCAGTGTGGCAACAGAGGGTGGGCACACACTGAAAGTACAAGCGAGCCACTGGTGCCATTGAGGGACCGCTCATTGGCTCCGGCCCCAGGTCCCAGCAAGTGATGTTTGCTTAGGAACCCGGGGCTGAGGCTTCAGAGAGAAATGAACTGGGAGCCATCCCGACTTCTAGGGAGCTTGCAGTTCTGTGGCTGTCACCAAAGGGAGTTTGGACAACTGCTCTATGCTGCTTTACTTTGAAGGGGACTTTGCTAAATAGCTGAATAGCTGTGGGGTAGGTGGGACTGGTTTGTAGAGGACGGAACTTTTTTTTTTTTTGGGTAGAGGGATTGAACCTAGGGGTGCTTAACCACTGAGCCACATCCCCAGCCCTTTTTATTTTGAGACAGATTCTCCCTAAGTTGCTTAGGGCCTCCCTAAATTGCTGAGGCTAGCCTTGAATATTTATTTATTTTAGTTTTCGGCGGACACAACATCTTTGTTTGTATGTGGTGCTGAGGATCGAACCCGGGCCGCACGCATGCCAGGCGAGCACGCTACCGCTTGAGCCACATCCCCAGCCCTTTTTTTTTTTTTTTTTAAAATATTATGAGGCTAACCTTGAATTTGCCCATCCTCCTGCCTCAGCTTTGAGGATCTGGGATTATGCATGTGCCATCACACCCAGCTTGGAGGGAACTTTTAAACTATGTCGTAAATGAGCAGGAGACAGAGTAGAAACAGAAGGAATAGCCCGTGAAAGACAAGTGTGTCGGGGAATTAGAGAGTTCATTCAGGAATTAGGAGTTCATTCAGGAATTAGAAGTTCATTCAATCACTTGGCAAACACTTATTCATTACCCAGGTGCATGCCAGGAGCTGGGGTAGACACTGGAGGGTTGTAACAAGGTGAATGTCCTCCACTCTCCAACTTGTTATCTAACTCCTCCTCTATGGCTTCCAGAGTGTAATACATACAGCCATTCCTAAGTATCCACGGGGGATTGGTGTCAGGATCTCCCATGAGTACCAAAATCTGCAGATGCTCAAGTCGCATACAAAATGACATAGTATTTGCATATGGCCTATGCACACCCTCCCAGGCACTTGAAGTCATTTCTTCATTACTTACAATACCTAATACAAAGTAAAGATTGGGTAAACAGTTGCTCTACTATATTGTTTCCGGGACAATGACAAGACAGAAAGTCTGTCCATGTTCAGCACAGATGTAACTGTTTTTCTCCAGATATTTTCTCTCCAAGGTTGGTTACATCCACAGATGCAGAACACTTGGATACAGAGGGCTGCCTGTACATGAAGGCAGCTGGTGTCAACCGGCTCATTAAGTATGTGTCCTTGACTCCCTGAGAATCTGGTCTGGCACCACAGGAGGGGTTCCCACAGGAGACAGAGTCATATGCAGAGCATACGCAGATTTGTTCAATGAACAAATAAATGAATAACCAAATGCTACCCGCATTATGTTCTTTACACATGTTTCCTACTTAGGACATTTCTGTTAGTGATATGTTATTATAGATCTCCATTTTACAGCTGAGCAAGCAGAAGCTTCAAGATGATAAGTGACCTCACCCTGGTGGGAAGTGAGGTAGAAGAATCCAGACCCCACGTCCTGGAGACCTGAATTCAAGCAGGCAGCCATGCCAGGTCAGGGGGGGTTCCCCAACAGCCCCATGGAAAGCGGTTGAGAACAGCAAGGGACTTTGCCCTCATCCTCCATCCAGCTGGGATGAGCTCAAAGGTTATCTCCCAGGTCAGGTGATGCACTGGCCAGTTTGTCTGGGGCAGGGAAGTGAGAAGGTGCCACTCCCCACTTGGGAAAAGGACACTCACTTGGGCTCTTCCTTGCAGGAAACAGACCCTCAAATAATTAGCCTCCTTTAAGATTGAGACGGATGACTGTTAGCCTCTGTCTCGAAGGGCACCAGAGACGTGGGTTCTTCACAGGGCCAGACCCAAGAAAGCTTCAAGATGGATGAGCTTTGTCAGACGGTCCGGTTGCTCTTGCTGGTCAGAGAGAAATTCCAGGCCCCCTGCTCAGCTGTGGGCCAATACACATCAGAAATGAGGTCTGTCTGCAGTGACCAGCCCTGGGAAAGGCAAGACTTGAGAGCTTCAAATACTCTTAGAGGATGAGGAGGTGGCTCAGGTAGAGCACTTGACTAGCATGTGCATGGCCCGGGGTTCCAACCCCAGCACAGCAAAAAACAGAAACAAACAAAAGACCCCGTCTTAGTGGAAGGCACCTACTCACCCCTCATTTAGCTAATGGGGAAGCAACAGGGGCTGGGCGACCTGCAGTCCTGCCCTTCACATGCTGTTCCCGCTCATAAATTTGTGTTCTTGAGTAATTTACCTTGTTCCTTCTGAACTTCTGCTTTCTCATCTCTGAAGTGGGGACAAGGATAAATTCTGTAATTTTAACTCAATTATGGAGCACCAAACTATGTGCCACCTTGTTCAAGAGACACAAGATGCAAAACCTTTATCCTTAATGTTAGGAAACTTCTATCCAGGATGGAAAGGAGAAGCTTCATTTCTTTGGTCTCTTCTCCAGTGGACAAGGCTGCCCTGGGTGGATCTGCCCTGTTTACAGCAGGGTTGCCAGGTTCCAGGACGGATGGTGATCTGGGAGCCCTGGGTTGCGGAACTGACTCTGTCTCCTGTGGGAACCCCTCCTGTGGTGCCATTTTTGCTGTCCCTGTCTGGGCTAAAGGACCCCCACAGGACTCACCACAGTCTGTTTCTGATTTATATGTGTATATGCTGAAGGTAATCTCTGCCTCTGGGGAGGGGTCTGATTTAGAGGGCCAGATCTCCAAATTCCCAGTGAGCACCCAGGTTAGGGATATTGGACAACCAAGGACACCCTTAATAATCCTCAAATGTATGATCCTTTATAATTATATCAGCTTTCAGAGCTTGCAAAGTATTTTTACATTCATTTCCTTTAATCTGCATGGGAGGTGGTATCTCCAGCTGTTTTACAGAAGACAACTGAATTTAGAAAGGGGAGTTACAAACTGCAAGTAGAACCCTAGCCCACCCAGGTTCCCAGAGCAACTAAGAATCATTGGGGTGCTTGCTAAATATGTAAATCGCCACTCCCTCACTCCAAATTCTAATTCTGAATATTGGATGGGATTCAGTAATCATTAGTGTAACAAACGTTTCAGGAGATACTTATCCTCTGGCAAGTCCGGACACAGTGAAATTTATGGATCTACTTCACACAGGTTTTTTGGGTCCTGAATTCATATATATCAGGAGAACGAGATGAACGGGGCAGTCCCAGCTTTGAGGAACCCACAGATGGTGGGTGTGCAGACTGACCACAGACTATGGTTGGAAACTCAGGCCTCTGATTCCGGAGCAGGGCCCTGTCCAGCTGGGTGGGTCAGCCCCTCAGGAGAACCCAGTCTTGGAACTCCCCGGTGAACCTGCTGAGCCTCTTTCCATTTTCTAACCCTTGCTCAGGTCTGATCTGTTGTTCTTTGTTTTCGGCTGGAGGCATCCTGTGAAACAGCAGCCGGTGTGTGGACACCTGGTGCTGAGTCTTGCACAAGGTCAGCTTTCAATGAAAAGGAGGAACAGGGTGTGGAGCAGCAGAGAAGAAAGCCCTGCAGTAGGAGGAAAACAGACTGAATTTACATTTCTTTAAAGGTAATTCCAGTCCTGCCCTTCCTTTGGGAGGGAGCCCAGGCAAGGATCACTCCAGTGTAGGTGAGGTAAGCAGGGTCCAGGGAGATGGAAGGGAGGGGGCTTGAGGTCTCCTGTGGCCTTGCCACCACTGGGCAGGGACTGCAGGACACGGTAACACCTTTTTTCCTGAAGTGATGCCTGTTCGTGGGGGGGGAAGGGGAAGAGACTGCTGTTACCAGAATAAAGAAGCACCCCCCTACCCCCAATCAGCTACACCCCAGGTTCCAGCTTCAGATAGAAAAGGCTTCGTCCTGGTCCTTCCTGCCCTCCCTTCCCCAGGAGAGCACTTCCGTATTTGAAGCTGGCATTTGTCCCCAGGGCCCTTCCTCTGGAGCTCACCTCTGTTGCTGTAAGTATCCAGTACCCAATCGTTTTCCCGTAGGCTGGCTCCCCAGACAGGCCTTGCCACAGAAAGCCAGGGAAGCTCCCCGAGTTCACGTGCACAGTGCCCAGAAGGCCGCACCCAGCTAGGCTGGGTCACAGCATCCCAGGGGTGTGGAGCCACCGCCTGAGCGCCGAGATCTGCAGGCACTCCACATTCCCTACCTGCTCAGGAGAGGACGGGGCGGGGATCCCAGGTGAGGAGGAGGAAGAAAGCCTCAATTCTGAACTGGGGGCCTGCTGTCTCAGCCACAGGGACTCTTATTGAGAAGCAGGGTGCCTGGGCGCCCAGGCCTGGTGTTTGGATCTAAGGCCCCCGCGGGTTTTGCAGGCCGCCGTCCCAGGTTCAGATCTCTCCATCCCCCAGTCGAGGTCCCTCCTCCACCCTCCCCCTCCAGGGGAGTTATAGGTTCTTAAAGCTTCCCTGGTGGGAGGAATGGCGGGGGCGGGGCGGCTGTGCAGGCCCAGGATATAAGGGGCGGAGGCGCTGCTTTCAGGTCCAGCCAGCCCATCATGTACGCCCACCGCCTCCAGTTCTTCCTCCTGCACGCCTGGTGGGTGCTGCTCCAGGCAGGCGCCGCCACAGTGGCCCAGGTACCCCTACGGACACTGGGGCAACCCTCGTCTCCGTCCCCTCTCGCTTACATGCTGAGCCTCTACCGCGACCCGCTGCCCCGGGCGGACATCATCCGCAGTCTGCAGGCACAAGGTAGGCTGCGCCGCCGCACCCTGCCGCGCCCCAGGGCGCCTGGGGTAGCCACCCGCCTGCGGGCTCCGGAAGTGCGCTGGGACTGCGGAGGGGTGCCTTGGACCGGGTGGTCCGGGGCTCACCGAGCCCAGGGCTCGAAAGGCGCGTCCAGGGTCTGGTTGTGCGTGTTTTTCTGTATCGGCACGGCTGGTGGCACCGACGAGTGGGAGGGGATTCCAGCGTTCCCGGTATGACCCCGACAGGAACCACTGCCATCCAGGTCCAGATTTGGGATGCGCAGAGCGCAGTGCTGGAGGATGGGAGCCAGATCGCGCAGCTTCTCACCGCCGCGGTGTTAGAAGTTACGTACCTGGGAGCCTCAGTTTACGCATCTGTAAAAAGGTAGAATAGTGCCTTCTTTGTAAGACCGTGGAAAGGGATCGGTGACAATCACATCAAACAACACAGAACTGGGCACAGTAATAACAAAGGGCCGTTATCGCTGTAATTATTTTTGTTTTGTCGAATCTCCTTTTTCTTTTTGCGAATGAGGGTGAATGGGTCGCGGAGTCTGGCGGCGGGAGTGTTCCAGGCTGAGGTGTGGCATCAGGGATTAGGGCTCGCAGGTCCAAGATTAGGGATGGAGTGTCACGAAGCCGAGAATTAAGGCAGCCTTAAACCCGGGTCTGGGAGACGTCAAGTTTCCCGGGTGACCCTGGACTCCCAGGCTAAATTTGGATGCGGGTGTGCCCAGTGACCCAAGAACATCTTTGCAAGGACTAGGCAGTGCGTTTGGGCACCGAGCGCAGCGGGCAGTTGGGTGCCGAGGAGGGGGAGCCCTGACCTAGGACCTCTTCCCCGGCGCAATCCACATCCCGACACCTGGGCAGCCTCCCTGGCCCGCGCCTCCCTCCGCCTGCGGGGGCCAGACAGCGCTCCCCCGGGCCGGGGCGCAATCCACATCCCCTAATCTGATCTGACCTGCCGCCCGCCGGTCCTTCTGGGCCTGGGGGCGGGGCTCCTAGCTCCCTGGCCTGGGCGGCCGCGTCTGGGTTGACACGGCTGGCCGACTGGTGACCCTCTCCGGAAGGGTCATGTGGGGACCGACCAGGCTGGGGACACCTTGGAGGGCGAGGCAATGGGAAATTTGTTCTGGCAGTTCCTCAGGAAGACCAGAAGGTGGCTGGGGATGAGGGATAGGAAAGGGGGAGGGCACACCTTTCTAGTTCACTTCCTTCTGGAAAGTTCTTGAAAATGTGGTTGGTGATTCCACAGACTGGGAATCTGGAAAACTGGGTTCTGCTCCCTCAAACCCTGCTTCCCAATTCCAGGAAGTCACCCTACTCCTCTGGTTTTCCTTGTGTAGATCAGGGGACTGCTCTCTGGGGAGGGGGTGTGTCTAAATATCCACAATAAAATTCAGTACAGTTGGCCTGTGATTGCTTCGTTGTGTAAAAGCTGCTGGAAGAGCCTTCCAGGAGGGGGGCGGATGGGGAAGGGCTGTCCTAAGCCAGCTGTCCTCCGACCTGGGTGTATTTGTCGAGCTGTAGCACAATACTGCAAAATGGGAGTTGGAGTCTAACCAAATTAGATATACATCTGTTTCACCTCCCCCCCAACCTCACTTTCCTCACCTTCAAAGGGTGCTAACAGTGGGGAGGGTTTGAGGAGAGGGTTCTTGTAAAGCTATTGGAAGTTGAGCCCAATGACCACACCTGTAATCCCAGCAATTGAGGAGGCTGAGACAGGAGGATCACAAGTTCAAGGCTAGCCTCAGCAATTTAGGAAAATCCTGTATCAAACTAAAAAAATAAAACGGGCTGGGAATATAGATCAGTGGTAAAGCACCCTGGGTTCATTTTAAAAGCCCCCCCCCCCCCCCCGAAAAAACAAAACAACCTTGGGAAGTAGCTAATGGTAATGACCCTTAAACCCTCTAGGGGCAGAGCAAGGCACCAGACTTCTTCCAACCGGAAGGAGCGGTCTCTTTCTTGCCCATCGGTGACACTGCCCATCCCACTTACAGGAAGACTATGTAACCTGTCCAGGGACCTCCCTGCCTAACTTCTGGACACTGACAATAATGAGGAAGTTTGAAGACAGCCAGTGCTTATTGAAGTTAGGTAACTGCTGGGCAAAGCACTTTGTGTACAGTTAATCATAACACCCAGTAGGGTGGACACTGTTACTGTTACTATTTCCTTTTACAAAGAGGGAAACTTGGGCCCAGAGAAGGAAAGCAACCTGAGCAGTGTTGAACAGCAAAACAGCGAATGGTAGAATTTGAACCACCTTGGAGAAACTCTGGGGCTCCTGCTGCTCTTAGCCATTAAGCAAGAGTACTTTCCTCTAAAACACCATTTGTATACACTTGAGATTAAATATTTTAAAATTGCAGGCCTGCTGGTACAGGTGGCCAGGAGTTGCCACAGTGTCTCACTGTCCCCAGATGGTCAGCTGATGCAGCAGTGGAAATGCATGGATGGGCGTCTTTCCCACACCTCTGGGGAGAGCTGCTAGTCAGGGGCCGGTTATTGCCCCCTGCAGGTGCTAATTAGGAGAAAAGTGGAAATTAAGTGAAAAAGGGCAGCTGAGAGGAGGCTGAAGCTAGGAATTACCCCTTTATGATAGAGGTCACATTCCAGAGAAACTTGTTACGAGATGGCAGATGCTCTGTGGACAGTAAAAAATAAACTGCTATGTGCGCCACTGTATCTAAATTGGTAACCGCCATGGCTTCCGGGATCTGTGCATGAACCAGCTACAGGTCCTGATTTTATTTCTAAGGGATAACCCCTGATTTTCTTTACAATACACCATCACATCTCTTTGTTTCCCAGGGTGATAAGACAGAGGTGAGCAGTGCGTCATTATTCCCAATGCAAAGAGGAGGGGAAAAAAGTTAAAGATTATTATTATTTACTTTTTTTTTTTTTGGTACTTGGGATTGAACCCAGGAGTACTTTACCAGTGAGCTACATCCCCAACGTTTTTTCAAGTTTTGAGATGGAGCCTAGCTAAAGTCGCTTAGAGCCTCACCAAGTTGCTGGGATTACAGGTGTGCAACCACCATGCCCAGCAAGATTATTAAGAGAGCTGAAATCCAGAAATGTGTGCTAGTTCCAGACATCAGACAAAATTAGTACAAGACTAAAATGAATGGAATATGCCCCCCCATCTCACCTGGTCTGGGCTTGGCTGTCTTGGCGGGTTGAACAAGGCTGTGTGTGGTGTGTGATTGCTGTGTGTGGCCCCAGGTGTGTGAAGGACCTGAAGCCCGGAGGGTGAGCATTGAAAAGCCATGCCTCAAATACCTTTAGAAACCTACTTGAAGGGCTGCTGAAAACGAAGTTTCTGCCTTGCTCCTTAGGCACAGGCTGGGGAGAGGGTGGTCAGCCATTGGCATCTATTTCTCTGAGGTTTTCATGACACTTGCATCTAGCTAAATGTGCCTGTGAAGCAGATCACCTTGTCCAATGAGAAAACAGCTCAAGAAGATGACTTGTTCCAAGGTCACAGGGCAAGTGGAAGCCCAAGTTTAAGTTAGAAGGCCCAAGCTTTCTTTGGCCTTAGACTGCAAGGGGAGAGAGGAGGGGAAGACAGAACTCATACAGTTTGTGTGTGTGTGTGTCTGTGTGTGTGTGTGTATGTCGGTGTGTGTGTTCGCAGTACTGGGGATGGAACCCAGGGCCTCAAGCATGATAGGCAAGTGCTCTACCACTGAGCTACATCCCTAGTCCTTTATTTTATTTTATTTTATTTAGTTGTAAGTGGACACAATACCTGTATTTATTTATTTATTATTTTTAGGTGGTGCCAAGGATAGAACCCAGGGCTTCACCTACTAGGCAAGCGCTCTACCACTGAGCCACAAACCCAGCCCACCCCTAGTCCTTTTTATTTTTTGAGACAGGGTCTCGCTGAGTTGCCGAGGCTGACCTCAAACTTGTGATCCTTCTGCCTCAACCTCCTGAGTCCCTGAGGTCACAGGTGTGTGCCACCACACCTGGCTAATTTTTATTTTTGAGATAGGGTCTTGCTAAGTTGCCTAGGCTTGTGATCCTCTTGCCTGACTGATCCAGTTCTTACCAGTTTGTCTCCAAAAGGGCACTCACTGGTGGAGCAGTGATTTGGGGTTTGGACTTGGCAATCAGGAAATTAAGATGTACTTTTGACTCTTGACTATGTCACCTTCCCAGATGGACAACCTCTCTGGGCCTTAATTTTCCTCATCTTTAAAATGGACTCAAGAACATTACCTCCTCAGGGTGGGGGTGAGAGTAAGAGATGGTCGACATCAGTTAGGGTTCTAACATGGGACTGAGGTGGGGGACCCACTCTCACTCTGCTTCTTTTCTGGTTTTTCTCAGATGTGGATGTGGATGGGCAGAACTGGACCTTTGCTTTTGATTTCTCCTTCCTGAGCCAAGAAGAAGAGCTGGCGTGGGCTGAGCTCCGGCTGCAGCTGCCCAGCCCCGTGGACCTCCCCGCCAAGGGCCAGCTCACCATTGAGATCTTCCACCAGCCAAAACTGGACACAGAGAAGGACCCAGGCAACTGCCTGAGGCGTCTTCGGATGGAACTATTCACCATCACTTTGTCCCAGGTCACCTTTTCTTCGGGCAGCATGGTCCTGGAGGTGACCAAGCCCCTCTCCAAATGGCTGAAGGACCCCAGGGCACTGGAGGAACAGATGTCCACTCTGTCCAGAGAGTGCTGGCAGCCCTCCCCCACCCCCCCTGTCACTGGCACCAGCGTGCTCCTCATGCTCTACTCCAACCTGCCCCGGGAGCAGAGGCGGCTGGGTGGCGCCACCTTGCTGTGGGAAGCTGAGAGCTCCTGGCGGGCCCAGGAGGGACAGCTCTCCCGGGAGAGGGTCCTGAGACACCGGCGGCATCACTTGCCAGACAGAAGCCAGCTGTGTCGGAAGGTCAAGTTCCAGGTGGACTTCAACCTGATCGGGTGGGGCTCCTGGATCATCTACCCCAAGCAGTACAACGCCTACCGCTGCGAGGGCGAGTGCCCTAACCCCGTGGGGGAGGAGTTCCACCCCACCAACCACGCATACATCCAGGTGTGACGCCAAGGCAGTAAGCCCTGGGGACGTGCTGTCAGAGAGGGGGACAGGACTCCAGCTCTGCTGTCGAATCACCACGTTCAGTCTATTATAGCCATTCAAGGACCTACCACGTGCCAGGTCCTGTGGGAGGGCCTAGGAGGACTCGGGGACTACCCTATAGAGCCCGTGTGGAGTCATGCCATATGTCGGGGGGTTACCCTTGACACAGGCTTCCCTAGGACTTCTTGTCTTTCATAAAATTAGGGAGTGGGGGTAAAACAGAGGGTCTCGGGTCCCCTCTAGCCCTGACATTCTGTGAAGGAGTCTTTTTGATTCCTACCCATTAGCTGTGTGAAAGCTGCTTATTCTCTTGGATCTCAGCTTTCCTACCTGTGAAATGGGGAGGGCAGTGCCATATCCCTTAGGGTGGCTGTAGGGTTCATGAGATTATTGGTACCCAGCCTATACAGTAGGCGGCAGGTACTAGATGTGTTTGATTCATTAGTGAAACGGGGGCTCTGTTTATAGGGCCATGGTTACAAACAACACTGTTACAGCTCTTGTACTTTTGCTGCCTCAGACTGTAGCTGAGTACTCATTTCGCAGGAGTAGACAAGGCCAGAAGCTGCCACCAGGGGCCACTAGTCAGCGTAAGGGCTAGGAGGTGGCAGAGGGAGTGGGACAAGACCGGTGTAGGAGGGAGGATGAGATGGAGAGAATATAGAGCCTGATGTGGCGGCCTGGTGTTTGAGGTGGCCCTGCCCTGCTCTCTCGGAGTGTTTTCATCTATTCCGTGAAGCCTGGAGTGAATCTCTGGGACCTGCAGTCCATCCTCTGTGCCAAGTCCCAGGCAGATTCAGGGCCTCTGAGGAGCATGAGCACGTAAGCTGAGCTCCTCAAGGGAGTCGCTGGTGGGCCACAGCCTCAGAGGACTGCTAGGCTGAGGCCCTCCTGAGCCTCAGCAGGTGCCGCTGACCCCACTAGCCCCCTGCCTTGCCACCAAGCGGAAACCCAGGCAGTCCCCAGTGCCAGCTCTCACACTCTGATCTGAAGAGATGTCCACAGGAACAGGTTCCTAAATGTCAAGGGGGTGTCACCTTTCTTCTTGTTGATTCTGCCTGCCCTTCGCTGGCCAACAAAACAAATCCTATAAGAGCTTCCACGTGATTCTCTTCTGCTTCATAATTCTGGAACCAAACCAGCAGTTTCTTGGAATATTTTTAAAGTTGGTATTTACTTTAGGCTAGAACAGTAGGACTTGTAAGTTAGCTACTGCTCTACCCAGAAACATGAGCCTTAGAATCTCTTGGTTAGGTTGCATAAAGCTATTTTAGCTGTTAGAGTTGATATATTGCCATGCTGGATGCTGATTCTTTCGTGAAAATCATTTTTCTTCTATTTTTGCATCTACAAACTGATTTTTTTTTTTAAAGAAAGAGAGAGAGAGAGAGAGAGAGAGAATTTTTTAATATTTATTTTTTTTTAGTTTTCGGCAGACACAACATCTTTGTTTGTATGTGGTGCTGAGGATCGAACCCGGGCTGCACGCATGCCAGGCGAGCGCGCTACCGCTTGAGCCATATCCCCAGTCCCCAAACTGATTTTTTTATTTTTACTTTTTAGTACTGGGGATTGAGTCCAGAGGTGCTTAACCAGTGAGCCACACTGAGCCACATCCCCAGCCCTTTTTTATTATTTTTTTAAATTTTGAGATAGGTTCTCACAAAGTTGCTTATAACCTCACTAAGTTGCTGAGGCTGTGATCCTCTTGCCTCAGCCTCCTGAGTTGCTAGACTAACGGACATGTGCTACTCCACCCTGCCAATAAATGATTTTCCACTCTCACTTTCTTACTCCTTACCTAGAAATAATACTCTTCTGACCTACTGGTAGGGATGTGAACTGACTCTCCTCCCCTTCCTTCCAGAGTCTGCTGAAACGCTACCAGCCCCATCGGGTCCCTTCCACCTGCTGTGCCCCAGTGAAGACCAAGCCGCTGAGCATGCTGTATGTGGATAATGGCAGAGTGCTCCTAGAGCACCATAAAGACATGATCGTGGAAGAGTGTGGGTGCCTCTGACCACATCCTGGAGGGATGTCAGATTTGCCTACACTCCAGAAGGTTGGGAAGCTCCTGGAAGACGTTACACTTATCCAGGGAGGAGAAACAGAGGGAAGAAGCAGCTCTGCCCAGCAGAACCGAAGAGGAAGGGCTGCCCGCTCTGTAAATGAAGGGCCCTGTGAGGTTGGCCAAGCCCAGAGGCCCTGGTCAGGAGGAGGGAAGAGAAAGCCTTGCAGAGGGCAGAGTGCTTGCTGGATTTTCTCTTTATCGAAAAGACAGTAGCAAGTAAAAGTGCAAGCACAAGAATTCTTTACCCAATTTGTTTTTAAATTCATGAACCCCTTGAAATTGTGTGCAAAGTTGGAGCAAATGTGCATTTATTTTTGAGGTGGGGCAAGGCGATCTATAGCTTTGGCGTATTTTCCAAAGCAGTCTGTGAACCACTGCTTCTCCTTCAAAGATTAAGTATCAATTTAGTAGATTAAAACTATTGGCTCTTGTTGCATCAGGCTGGGGTAGGGGAGCCCTGCACATCTTCCTGGTTGGCCAGTGGCAATCTGTTGGCTGTGTTCAGAGGCTCCCTGGCATGGTCTCTGCTAATGAGTTGCATAAACAATAAAGCCATTGTCTAGCTCTCCTAGGCCAGCTGGTGCCTTTAACAAGAGAGCCAGGAACTCCTAGAGGACTGGCCATGTTGGACTACAGAAGCTGGAACCCTCAGACATCCCTGAGTCAGTCTGCTTGGCAGACACAACTCGAGTCTATTAAAGTCGGTGACACTTCACCTCCTCCTCTCAATGTGTGCAGTTAATGAGGGCCTTTCGGTTCCTATTGAGCAGGGGTTAAGGACTTATTCTGGGTGGCAGGAGACATGGGCTGTAGTCACTGAGCTATGTGACCTCAATTGAGTATTCACTGCTCAGCTTCCTCTTGTAAAATGCAAGACAGTGGGTGCTAACATTCATATGGGGTATATTAGAATACATTCTGGGTATGACTGGGGATGTGGCTCAGTGGTAGAGTACCTACGTAACTAGCAAAGTGCAGGGCCCTGGGTCTGATCACCACCACCACCAAAAAAAGTCTTGTTTGGTGGGCTCAGAGACCTTGAGTTTTAAGCCATAGGCTGTCCTCTGGGGCCTTATCCCTGTCATCTCCTTCCAAAGCTTGTAAGGCCTGTCAAGACCAGTCCCTGGCATATTCTTTTGCCAGCTCTTTTTTTTGTGTGTGTGTATCAGGGCTTGAACTCCGGGGCACTCGACCACTGAGCCACATCCCCAGTCCTATTTTGTATTTTGTTTAGAGACAGGGTCTCCTCGAGTTGCTTGATGTCTTGCTGTTGCTGAGGCTGGCTTTGAACTTGCGATCCTCCCGTCTCTACCTCCAGAGCCACTGGGATTACAGGTGTGCGCCACCACACCCAGCCTTTGTCAGCTCTGAGACTGGCTTACTTCCAGGTTGCACACGCACTACAGAAAGAGGACCCCAAGTTTTCCTACAGGAAGTTGTGGCAGAATATCTGAGCACAAATCTTCATCTTCTGGATGAAAAGGCAGCACTTCTTACCTGCGTAACCTTGTTGAGCACTGCCAAAACAGGGGCTATGTGGCGGGGGAGTACATTTTATAAGCATGTGAGCCCAGGGAAACTGATCCCCTACCCTGTTTCCCAGGAAGCCTCTCAGCTGGTCCTCCAGCCACAGAATGATCCCAACTGTATGGGAACTTCACTGAGCTGACTTGACTCATCTGTAGACTCGGTTGAATCAAGGTGACAATCCTGGCCCAGGCTGGGGCTGGACTTGCCAGAACCAGATCTGGGCCTGAGAAACCTCAGTGCCTCAGCAGCAGTACTGATCTAGCTGCTCATTTCCTGAATGGAAACATACCTGCTCTGGGGTTAGCCCAATTCAGAATCACAATGGGATCCTGCATCTGATTTTACTCTGGAGGACAGTAGGGCAGGGGCAACCCTGTGAGGTCAGCTTGTCCCATTCTCTTTCCTGAATTAGACCCCAGGAGGCCTCATGGGCTGGCCACAACAGGGTATTGTCCTTAATAGCCATCTACAAATTTTTGGTCACCTAGCTTTGTATCACCTTGGCCTTTAGAATCAAACTCTTGAACCCAACCCTACCACAACCTGAGGGCCTTTGTTGTTTTTAAAGAAGTTCTTAGTTCCCCAGCTGGCCTAAACTTGCCACTCTTCTGTCTCAGCCTCCCAGGTAGCTAGGGTTAAAGGCATGTGTCACTGCACCTGGCTTGGCCTGAAGTTCTCAGAAATGGAAATACCATCCTAGCATGCACAAGGCCCTGGCTTTAACCCCAGCATCTCTCTCTCACTCACACACACACACACCATCCCAGGGCTTTCAAGAATCTTTACCCAATGGCTCTTACATAGCCTGGGCCAAGAAAGTGGAAGATGGACTGACTTCTGGCTCTCTAGCTCATGGGAGCATTTATAGTCAGCTTCTCTGTTGACTCAGAACAGACCTCCCTGATAGCAAGGCCTTGCTTCCCCTTGCAAGATGACAATGCAGGCACAAAGTGGTGACTCCATGCCTGACCCCTGCTAGGGCTTCCTGTGCCAGTGACACAGCAGGGTCATTCTGCTGCCCAGCCAGAGGTCTGTGGGCAAAGCCTACTGCCCTAACCTGGGGAGCAGCTCTCAGCTTGAGGCTGTGGGCTGGCTGGTCACTCTGTCTTTGAGCAAGTACTGCCTGAGCACCGCTGTCCTGCCTGCACTGGGGCTTACAGTAATTTTAACTTGCTCTCAAGGCAAAGTTCCACTTAGTGTTCCTTCAGCAGTACCAAGTCAAGTTCTAAGGGGAAAAAAATGGATGCATTACTATTCATAGCTGGCAGGGGGTAAAAACAGACAAATTTTAAGAGGGCAGCAGAAACATGGAATCACAGGCAAGGAAGTGGCTGTTGCCTCTAGATGGCACCATAACCAAGAGCTATCTCCACCTGAAAAACCTCCCTTTTTATCAATAAGACCCTATCCTTCTGTCCTAATTGCCTTTAGGGCAGAGCACAGGATGTCTGGAAGCGCTTTCCAGGTTATTTTGTCCCCATCTTCCCTTACAGAGGTTTTTTTGTTCTCCTTTCTTTAGACAGGAGCCAGGCTGGGATTACAGGTGTGCACCACTGCACCCAGCCTGGGTGCCTGTTCAGTGGTCAAACTTGCTCCACTCCCACACCTGCGCATGGAGGGAATGGAGACCCAGCTGAACAGCTAGCTTCTGGGTGTGCAGGCCAACAGAGCTGAGCTTGAGTTCTTTAACAAGAACTGTTTATCCTGAACTTTCTGTATCTGCAACCAGGTTAAGTGTGCTCCATGATCCTACCCAAGCCTCATGACAATCTAGAACCCCCGCCCCCTTTCACATTTGAAAAACTTTCTTCACTCCAGAGAAAACCAAGGCACAAGAGACTTGAATCTTGCTGTATGGAGGCGACTCAGCTCCCAGCAGCAACGTTGGAAATGAAATTACCCAACTCCAAGGCCTCTGCCCTTAACCTCTGCACTGGAAATAAAACTGGACCTTTTACAGTCTGTGAACAGAGCCCACATAATAATTTTCCTACAGGAAAACTTAAGGTCATGTGGGCTCTGTTCACAGACTGTAAAATATGAGAGGACGATTCTTTTTTTAGTATTAATTTGGGGACTTGCTGGTTTAACAGCAGGAGTCTGATGCTCATGCAGCACACCTTTGTTTAAGACACCAGACATGCACTTGTCTAATGAAGGCTCCCAAGGGCCAGAAACAGCCCTTCAGAGAGAGGGAAAGGCATGTGGGCCTCCTCAGGGATGATGTACACAAAATTGCCAACTACTTCCACTCTCTGCCCCATCAGCGAAGACTCCACAGATGTGAAATAACCCTCAATAGTTCACCTGAAACTTTGAAAAAACTAAAACACCAAATTGAGGCTGGGTGTGTGCAGGGAGTAGCTCAGGGGTAAAGTGTATGCTTAGCAAGTTCAACGGCCTGGGTTCAATCTTCAGCACAAGACTCCACATTGATACTCAAGATCTTTATTGATTTAACTGTAACAGTAACCATTGGTGAGAATTGATTTTCCCCCCGCTAATTTCCAAACACCTGCTGGTTTGGAAGAACAGTTAAAAACAAAAACTGGTCATGGAATCACACAGGACTGCCTCAGAACTGCATGGTGCCCTCCGTTAACCATCCCGACAGTGAATGGATGGGAGGGGTGAGGGGACAACAAACACATCAAGAGAGAGGACAGGAAGACCAAGAAAAGTGCTGGCAGTCTCTGCTTTTCCATTTGATGTGGTTGGAACTGGTGGTACTAGACAGGGAAGCTTTTTATACAAAATATTTTAAAAAGATGCTTAAAATGGACACCAGAATACATGAGCATCCTCGCGGCTCTTCTAAACACTTTCTTTAAGGTTTACCCTGGGGTTGTGGAGGTCTCCTCACCCCGGTGGAAAAAGGGGGCTCGTCTGCAGGTAAAAGGCAAGGCACTGGTGCAAGGGACTTGGTGATTTGGATCAGACACCAGGAAGGAGTAGGATGGTTGGCCCAACTGGCCCCTTAGCTCAAACTAGTGTTCCTCCCCCACTCCCCCGCTTCCCAGTAAGAACTGCTCTTGGCCTGGGCCTTTTGAAGAGGAACACAGCAACAAGAATGAACATGCTGTGCTGGATTCCTGGAATTCCCTTTAAGTTTAATGTCCTGGAATTTGGTTTTAAGCACCGGAAAGAGCTCCCTTTGGAAATTTCAGCATGGTCAAGTGATTATCAAGCACTGTAGAATCTCTCTGCCAGCCTCCCACCTTGGAAAGGTGGCAGAGGAAGAGTTTAAATTCCCTGGCAAAGGTTTCAGCTCAGCATGGTCTGCCAGGGCCACGGGCAAAGGTGAACAAGCAGAGAGAAACCAAAGACCATTTGAACAGGGACTCAAACAACTTTCTGCTCAATCTAAGCTTTGTCAAAAGGTATCAACTTCCAGGACTAGCCTAAAGAAATCAGTGTAAATTCCAGAAGGTGGGAAAGGTGTTATGAATGATTAACTGAAAAAACAAGTACATAGCAATCACCCTTAAAGTCTTTAGTTAGAAATTTCTGTGAGTTAGCCTCAAGGAAACTCTACTACTAAAACAGGAAACAGTAACCAGAACACAGGATGTCCCTAAAGTATAAGTACTCTGAATTGTGACCCACCTGCCTCAAGACCTGATATCAAGAGCTAGGAAGGTAGCTCAGTGGCAGAGCACTTGCCTAGTATGCTGGACAGCCCTGGATTCAATTCCCAGTATAGTGACAAAACCAAACCAAACCCCAATTTCATCTCTAATTAAAATCTGAGAGGAAAGGAACAATGGGGTAACTACTCCCCCTTCAAATTTCTGACAGGTATTGCTCCCAGAGAAACAATATTCTTTATAACAAACGCTAAATGATTGGGAAGTGATTGGGCTTCGCAGATTATTAAATTGCTTCTACATACCTATAGTCCATAAAACATGCCAAGGAGGGACAGTCTTGAACCAGCGAGTGAGGCCTTCTCTTGAGGAAAATGCAAAGGGCCATATCCCAGCTTCCAGAAGCTGGCATCCACAATGAATAGCAGGGAAAGAGATCCCATCTCTGGGACATTGCTACCAATGTGAGCCCTTTACATCGGTTACCTTGGATCAAAGCAGGGACTCTCTTTTCTCTGGCTTCAGGAAGGACTAGGGGGAAAACCCCACAATCCTAGCTGAATTCTGATGGAATGTGGGATAA